GGTAGTAGTAGTAGTAGTAGTAGTAGTAGTAGTAGTAGTAGTAGTGGTGGTGGTGGTAGTGGTAGTGGTAGTGGTAGTAGTAGTTGTAGGAAGAAGGAAGAGCCCAAATGAGAGGACGAAAAACAGCCTTACGTTTACCCTTGAAAAATGGAGACATATAAGTTGTAAACGAATTTCCATAAAACCTTACGCTTACTTGAATAGTAAAATAAAACCTTACGCTTACTTGAATAGTAACATTTTTTTTTTAAAGATAAAGAAAGAACGGACTTTGTAGTCTCACTTTTGATTGCTATAATAATAATTATTATTATGATTATTTTTAAAACATCCTATCTTCCCTCTTTGTATTGCTCAGATGCTGAACTGCATCATCGGTATGGTGGATAAAACAAAGCGTGCCATGTCAGTCCTGCAGGAGCGAAGTCTGCGGGACAGGGAAGAGTTATCCCTCTGGGCTCGCAGACAGACAGATGGCATCGACGCAGACGTCAAGAAACGATCCGGTGACGTCATGGCCTACACACTGAGGCAGACGGAAGATCGTGTTAGCGAAATGCGGAGAAGAGCAGGTGAGGGGCAAGGGTGCTAATCTCGACATGCTGTGTATTCACGCCTGTTTGTCAGTCTAAGTCATGTATTAATTGTCTTTTTTTAGGGCTAAAAAAGAGTGTCTGACGTACTTGTGATCCAAGTCACACATATCCATCTGCGAGGGGGCAAATCAGAACAACACTAGTGACGACATAGACATTTTAAAAATAATAATTATTCTTTTTTTTTCTTTTTACAAAACTGGACATTCACACTAAACATTCGTCTCTGATGGAACAGATACCCGTGGATGGAGAGCCTTAAAAATTCCTAAGCAACCCAAGTTTCAAGAATGACGTATTAGGGATTCGTGGGTGTTTGGCGGGTGTTATGGTATGGTTAGGCCCTTCTTTCCTACCAAACGTCTGTCTTCCTTTTATCTCTTCTACTTTTTTTTTCTTTGCATGTTCACTCTAGTTACTCTCGGCCCTTATATGACTTGCTTGTGTTGCAAGTCCAGTAAAACCTATTCTTAAACTAAAATAAGACTGAAGGGAATTCCACTCAAGGTCATTTGCACCTTTTGTGTACATGATACCAAAATATGTGACCAGCGCCCTACTGTCAGTCAAGGTGACCGATATACCCATGTAGAGACGAACATGATTTTTGGAATGGGATTACAGACGTAGTCTGGATGTTAAGAATAGCCATTGAAAGGTGATAATTACTTTGGTCTTCCTGAAACATATCTTTATGACCTTACCTACTGAGGAGCAGCTACTAATAGCTACTCTATTTGTGTGGAATGTCTGTCTAAGGTTTTTTGACAGTGTTCCTCAAGTGTTCAGTGGGGGCTTTTACTTCCTCACACTTATGCCTACTTACTTAAGACAGACAACATAAATACATAAACGACATTTCATAATTCTATGTATGCATTACACATAACACGTAGGCCAAATTTAACAAAATTGTGATCATTCAATTTTTTTCTCCCCCCCCTCTCTTTTCCTTGAACAACCCAAATAACAATAGAAGAAGCAGTCAATGACGTAAAACGACAAGCAATGATGGAACTTCAGAAAGCAGTCAGCGCAGCCGACCAGAAGGCGTCAGACCTTGTAGCTGCCGAGAGATCCAAAATGGAGCGCGCCATTGCCGAGGCCCGGAAGCAGACTCAATCTGAACTTCTGCACTCTCTCAGCCACCAGGAGGAATCTCCAGAGGTAGGAGAGTTCCTCAAACGTTTTGCAACAACTGAGTCGCTTGGTCCGTTGGTGTGGATTAGTTTTTAACTTTTTGAAGAACCGCATTCTGGTCATTCATAACGCTTTAAGACGAGCAGTTTATCTTTTTTTCTGGCGGTTTGGGGTATGGGGATGGGTGAACTCTTTATAAAGGAAACGTAACTTTGTTGTTGTTGCTACTGCTGCTGCCATTTCACGTATTTGCAGATTCTATTCCGATCTTTTTTCTCTCTCTTGGTTACTGTGGCAGGTTGTGGTGTCTCTCCCTCTACTGCTGTTGCTATTGATTACTCTTTTGCTTTTTCTTTAACCTTTTGACCTCAAACTCAGACCTTTTCTCTTTCTCCCATGACGAAACAGAGTTGCTGGAACTGCGGCCGTAAAGCTAGCGAGACTTGCAGCGGGTGTAACGTGGCTCGCTACTGTGGCTCCTTCTGCCAGCACCGAGACTGGGAGAACCATCACCATGTCTGCGGCAAGACCCACATCACCTCTGCCGCCGAGGCCAGAGAGATGAGGAGAGCCGCTCTGGCTGCTGCAGCCGCTGCTGCAGCTGCTCAGTCCTCCTCTACCACCACCTCCTCCTCCTCTTCCACCTCCTCGGCATCTGCTAGTACTGCAAGAAGCGGCGAAAAGGACACGGTAACGCCATCGTCTTCTAACTCGACGTCGTCCTCATCGTCGTCCTCCACTTCTTCGACGACTCCGTCATTTCTGGGAAGCTCGAGTAAGTCCCCAGCCTCGCTGGATTCCTCCGCCGTCACGTGCATGTCCCAGCCCCCGTCTGCTGTGCCGAGTCTCTCCACCAAAGAAGTGGCTCTGACTTCTCCCTCAGCAGCAGCAACTACAGCAACGACATCAGCAGCAGTAGCGACTTCCGTGGTGTCTGTGTCGCCCTCCTCTTCCCCGAAAGCGCCAAGCGTTGCGGACTCAAATCCTGGTTCTCCCGCGACGGAGGTTGACTCCGGAGCACCCTGTGTTGACACAAGCTCCCCATAAGGGCAGACTAGAACATTTATCACTGACTCTGTGTGTTGAAATATAACATTGTAACAATGGCATTGACATAATCCATTGCTGAGTAGTCGTGTAGTGCATACTTTAGCTTTCAGTGTCACCTTGTGTCTGGTACACTTCATTACTGTTGTTACAACTTACGGGGATAGGATTTTGGGTTACTCGTAGTTGACATCATCGCTGTTACCATTTTGGGAGAGGGAGTTTTCAAATCTCGTTGTTAAATTCATATTATCAGGTTTCATCTTCCGATGGTAGAACGTGGTAAATTCCTGATGGTTAATTCTGACGATTGTGATTTACGTTGGCGAGGATTGATGTCGGACTAGACGTTGATTTCTTCAAAATGCACTAATATCCTGGACTTGACACAGTCAATACATATTATTGTGGAAAATGTATACACATGTAATGTTTAACAAACATGAAAGGTGGCTGTGAAATAACGAAAGAAGATGCTGAAAAAGTGTAAAAAGACCTTTTCGGTCCGGTCCGATTTCAGTCTGGGGCTAAGATCCGCCAAGGAATTCTGTACGAGATTCTCTCGCTGTGGAGCTGTTCCAATATGGCGGAGTGGCGACATCATGACGACAAACGTGACTGTACAGTCATTGCTCTTCATCAATTCGGCAACATACTCTCGTTCTCTCGTTCTCATATTGTTTGTGTTTTTGTTTGTAAACTGAGGTGTTATTCTATATCTTTGCAAACATGTTTTTCTTACCTGAATTAAGATGAATGACTGCTTAAATGATGGATGATCTGAACAAACTGAAGTACAAATGAAAATATAAACGACTGAGCAGTTACAAGTTTAAATGAAATATTGGATACTTGAATGAATAACTGATAGATGTTACATATTACACAATGTTATTATTTGAAAAAAGACGGACATTGAATGGATTTTGTACTGTTCAAACAAGAACAGTTAATGTATTATTTCAGCATTGTTCAGTTCAAATTATACCATATTATTTGTCACGTCACTAGAGGCATTGCTGAGACAATCAGACACTCGGGCTTTGACATTACGCTTACAATAGCAAAGACTCAGAATTGTTCTGTTTATCCCCATTTTATTTTTAACATACATAAGGTTTTACATTCTTTCGATCCTCCTGAATGAGATTGTCTCAGACGCTGTTCACCCAAACAGTAAATCGGTTTTTCTGTCAGTAAGGGTGTGAGTGTTTTGGTTGAAAAGAAAGAGGGGGGACGTTCTGTCAGTTGTAACATTAATTAAGAACGACCCTTCCCTCGATTAAATTTTTACTTGATTTTCCTTTAAGGATCCTTTAAAAAATGTACTAATATCTCTTGTATTCTGATAATATGTGGATACCCTCTTTTGTTCCGGACCTGCCATTGCATTAGTTTAGATATTATTGATTTTAGTATTGATTATCGTGTATATTATGAATGTGTTCAAGTGCGGTGTGCATTTTATTTTAGTGTTACACGTTTCACTCCCATGATCTTGCGCACACCGTTCATTTTGAAAGGTAACGTGGTTTACCCTCGCCCACAGGCTGTGATTTATGTGTGCTGTCTTGTCAACCTCAAATATTCAATGTTTACGAGAGGTAAAAAATGGCCACAGT